TGAGGTTTGGATGGTTGAGGTCTTCCTTGGCCTTCTTCTGCGCCTTGACCTTGGACTTTTCTCCCCTCTGTGTCGCGCATTTCTTTTTGATCAATCCAACCATATCCTCAAATATAAGTTGTGCATAATCGAGAGGCAGGTTGAAGTAAATCCCATATACGATTGAGAGCATTGCGTGGGAGGTCTGGTCGTGGCTTCCAACCTTCCCTGTCAAGCAGCAGTTTACGATTGAGAACAGGGTATTCCAGATAGGAGGAAGTCCTTTGTGCTTGAACTGTGTTCTTTTGATGATTTGTGTCGCATAAGAGTGGAATTCAAGGAATTGAATTAATTCCTCATCTGTTGGGGTTGCAGCCAAAGCCTCTAAATGAAAAGATTCCAGAGTGGGTAGATGAAGGGTTGTTCGTAGTTTTTCCACATTAAGTTCCATTGGCACTAATGATTATTGGTAGGGTGAGATGCATAGCCAACGATGCTCAGGCCAGTGTCGTCTATGGTTGTTATATAAAAACTTAGAAGGAATTGGGTTATGTATGACTCAGGTGTTGGTTTGGTGGCAAACAGGGCATAGTAAAGAGGATGGTTGCGAAGAATTTCTAATAAGGGGAAAGTAAAATCAGGGAAACCTGTTTGTGAAGGAACGAAGTAGTAGTTGTTGGGCTTTTTCACAAGCACGACCTTCTCGTATCGATTTTGAACGAAAGATAGGGCGTGAGACGTTAGAGCTTGGGCCTGTGTTACTTCATTATCACTCAAAACATTGACGGACTGAGTTGAGGCTGAGTAGGAAGACATTTTTTGCAGGTTTGTATTAACGCTCAAGAAATTTCAGGTTCGCCGGAGAAGAAAGAGTATTGTAAAGGTTTTTGATTTGGGGGGTAAGGGGTATTTATAGTGAGGAATTTTGAAATGAACCGTTTATTTTGACGAAAGGTCGTGATGAGTGGTTTTGGGTTGAAACGGCTCAAAAGTATGACACGCCGTGTTGGGAAGACGCGCGATTGATGACGTGCGCCCCCGTTCCTGACACGCACGTGGTAAGTTCTAACCCTTATCCACAGAACCACGCGCACCATATCAATAGATAAGACCTATTAAGAGAGTTCTGTCATAGGCCTAAGGGTAACAGAGCCTCTGTGATATGTGTCGGGTCTTCAAAAGTGTTACACCTTTGTTTACCTAAACAGTTTGAAAATCCACAGAGAGATGAGTACTTGCTCAGCTCAAACTCACAGAGCCTCTGTTAGAAGCGCCAGAGGTTATGATGAGGTGACCTCTGAGAACAAAATACTTCAAAAGTTTTGGCACCTTCTGTGGTTTGATTTTTATTTCAAAACTCCCCCTCTGAGCCAGCTTCCTTGGCTCCCCCTCGAATAAAAAACCATTTAAAATCCTAAGAAGAAGTGTCAACAGAGAGTCCGTTCACAGAGCCTCTGAGAGAGATCACAGAGGGTCTGTGAAAAGACTTCTGTGATAAAAAACATTTTTTTCCTTCAAAAGGTTTTATTATTTTGAAGTACATACTCCCCCTCAAACTTTGCAAGTCTCTGCGAGGTTAAACCTGTTTACTATAAAATCAAGTGAAAGGTTATTCAAGAAATAAAACTATATACAGAAAGGAATTTAAAAATAAAATTATATACAAAATTAAAGAAATTAATAAAGAGAAGACTTTATACAAAAGGAATAAATAAATAAGACAAACAACATCTAAGACTCTGGACATG